GCCCCCCAAAGTGCTGGGATTACAGGCCTGAGCCACCGCACCCGGCCCACAGAACTCTTTATCTTGCAAAGCTGAAACTCTGTACCTATTACATAATAACTCTGGGCCGGCAATGGTGACTCACGCCTGTAATCCCAGCACTTTGGGAGGCTGACGTAGGTGGATCACCTACCATGTTAGACCTACCTGGCCAACGTGGTGAAACCCCCTCTCTACTAATAATATAAAAATCAGCTGGGCGTGGTGGCTCATGCCTGTAATCCTAGCTATTCGGGAGGCTGAGGCAGGAGAATCACTTGAACCCAGGAGATGGAGGTTGCAGTGAGCCAAAGATCGTGCCATTGCACTCCACCTTGGGTGACAAGAGCAAAACTTTATCTCAAAGTAGTAATAATAACAACAACAACAACAACAACAACAACTCTGGCCAAGGTGGAGCTGAAAGTCCTAACCCTCTAATCCTGCCTTAGTCTTTCAGGTGACCAGCCTTCCTCCTGTGGCTATGTAGGGGCCCTCGGCTGTTTGTCATCTCTTTAGCATATGAAGACGTTTTTACCACTCTGGAGATTCCAAGAGTTTTAGGAGTTGTATGCCAGGGAATGGGGACAGAGACCAAATATAGGCCTGACATAGTAGCTCATGCCTGTAATCCCAACACCTTGAGAGGCTGAGGCAGGAGGATCGCTTGAGACCAGCAGTTTGAGACCAGCCTGGGCAACCTAGGAAGATCCTGTCTGCACACACACACAGCCACGAACACACACACACAAGTCCTGGGCAAACCTAGCAAGATCCTGTCTAGACACACGCACACACACCATACCACACACACAGACACACAGACACACACACGCACTTTTCCACTTTCTCCCATCCCCTGGCAACCACCATTCTACTTTCTATCTCTATGAGTTTGACTCATAGAGCACTCATACTGTGTACTGATTATTAGGTATTTCGTGTAAGTGGAATCATACAATATTTATCCTTTTATGATTGGCTTATTTAACGTAGCTTAATGTCCTCAAGGTGCCATCTGTGTTGTAGCATGTTAGATTTTCCTTCCTTTTTAAGGCTAATATGAATAATATTCCATTCTATGTGTATACACTACGTTTTGCTTATCCATTCATTTGTCAGTGGACATTTGTGTTGCCTTCACCTTTTGGCTGTTGAGAATAATACTGTCATGAACATGCATTTACCACTCTGGAGATTCCAAGGGTTTTAGGAGCATATGCATATACCTCTGTATATTTGCATGCATATGCAAATACCTCTCTGAGGCCCCATTTTAGTTCTCATTTTTGTCAACCCCAGAATTGGAACTTCTGGATCATATGATAATTCTATTTGTAATTTTTTGAGGAACCTTCGCACTACTCTCCATAGCAGCTGAACCATTTTACATTTCCACCAATAGTGCACAAGGGTTTCAATTTTTCTACATCCTTACCAAAATGTATTTTCTGGATTTTGTGAGACTAGCCATCCTAATGGGTATGAGGTGGTAGGTTTAATTTACATTTTTCTAATGATGAGTGATGTTGAGCATCTTTTTTATGTGCTTATTGGGCATTTTTATGTCTTTTTTTGGAAAAATGTTTTATTTGCCTATTATTTAATGGGGTGGTTTGGCTTTTTTGCTGTTGAGTTGTAGAGGTTCTTTACATATTCTGGATATTAACCTTTTATCAGATATGTGATTTGCAAATATTTTCTCCCATTCCGTAGGTTGCCTTTTTACTCTGTTAATGGTGTCTTTTGATGCATAGAAGTTTTTCTATTTTGATGTAGTCCAATTTGTCTATTTTTTGGTTGTCACCTGTGTTTTTCATTTCATATCCAAGAAATCAATGCCAAATCCAATGTCATGAAGCTTTTTCCCTGTATTTTCTTCTAAGAGTTTTATATTTTTAGAGCTTATATTTAGGCCTTTAATTGATTTTAGTTAGTTTTTATATGTGGTATAAGGTAGAGGTCTACTTTCATTCTTTAGCATATGGATATTCAGTTTTCCCAGTACCATTTGTTGAAAAGACTGACCTTTCTGCATTGAGTGGTCTTGCCACCCTTGTCAGAAAACATTTTACTATATATGTGAGAGTTCATTTTTGGACTCTCTGTGTTCCATATGTCACTCTTTATGCCAGTACCATACTGTTATGATTACCATAGTCTTGTAAGGTTGGAAATCAGGATTATAAGAGCTCCATACTTCATTCTTCACTATTGTATTTTGACTTTTTATTAAATTCTTGTTTATTGTTTGCACCCTATAGATTAGGCTAATTTTTATAGGTAAGAAAGATAACAGGCTTTAAATGCAGCTTACCTTCTCTTCAAGGAATTCTTAACTTGTAAATTTCATTTTGTTGTGTGGATAAATAATCCTAGTCTGTCATTTCAGAATGACAATATCAGTTGTCATTATGGTTATCAATATGACTATCAGATGTTTCATTAACTCCATTCTCAAGGTTGGAAAATTATATTTGGCTTAGCTGTCCTGGTGTTTTTGAAACATGAACTTGTCTACAGACTATGTAATAGTTCAGAAAGTAAACGATGTATCTACTGTTGAACCTATTATATATTTTAAAATCTTATTTTTTGGACACCAGTCTTCTGGCATTCTTAAGAATGGCCTTAGACTTGGAAAAAATAATTAGCAAGTCTTTAGAAGTGTAGATGTGGTGAAAACAGCAAAGAAGAATCCCTAAGAGAATACCTGATATACTTTATGTGGAAATTTTTAATAACTGTATATAAGCCAAGATGTTATTAAAAGGAATGAAGTATTCAAATCAAACTAGTTTAAGCAATACAAGGAATGTATTGGCTCTGGGAATTAAAAAAAGTCCAAGACCAGGAAGGGCTTCATGCATGGTTTTGTCTTGGTTCTCCAGCTTAGTTTCTCTGTTTCCAATTCAGCTTTGCCTTTCTCTTTCCTCTTGGCTTCATCAGTTCTGGGTCTGCCACATTTGCCACAATTCTATACCACCTAGAAGTTTTCTATTTTTTACTTAGAGTTTTTCTTCTTCAGTCACCAAATGAAATTCCTTTATTGATTAAGCCAAATTTAGAATTTTTCACCTGGAGTTTTTCTTCTTCAGTCATCAAATGAAAGTCCTTGGCTTTAATTGATTGAACCAGTGTAGGTCACATATCCAGTCACTGTGATCAGGAAAATGCTGTGCACTGATTATTAGTTTAAATCTGGATTTTCTTCTCATCTCTAAGCTAATCATGAGGCAAGGAGGTTGGGAGTACACTGAGTGGGCTATTTAGAACTGATACTTGAAGCTGGAAGGTGGGCTTATTTCTACCCAAATTACATGGCTGTTGTACCATGGGAAAAGTGATGTAGGATAGATGTTGGATAGGTCTATCATGTCTTTTTATTTTAAAAAGTTAAGAAAGAAAATCAGCAAGACAGAAGAGATAAGGAAAAAGAGGCAAAACAAGATGGGGGAACTAAGTATATCAAAGATTGGACAGCAGTGAGGATTAAAGCAGCAGTAGTGGAGCAGCTAGTTTGTGACAATACAGAAGAAGTTGGTGAGCAATGAAGAGAGAAAAAAAAATGCAGTATCCATAGTAGACACTTTGGTCCTAAAGCTCTTGAAGGCTCTATTTTCGGTATACTGTATGGGCTATTGGCTCGTTTAAAATGCTTTCAGTTCCAAATAACAGGAAACACAACTCAGAGTGTCTCAAACAGTTAAGGATATTTATTAACTCATATAACTAAAAAAATACACAGAGGTAGGTCAGCCTTTAGGTGCTTCATACAGAGGTTGTTGATGTCATCAAGCGTTGGCTTTATTTCTTTGCAATTCTCTCTTCTATGTACCTTCCTAATCATTAAGCTCAGATTGTGGTGGTTCCATGTACTAACTGAACTAGCTTAGATCCGTTTCTTGATTTTGGAGACCCGAAGTTGGTGTGTGCTTCACTAGAACTGTGGAGATTCCAAAAAAAGTAAGCGTTTTGAGAAAGGGGGATACAAATTTTAAGACTGCAACTGTGAATGTTAAAATAGGCAAGCAGTCCTTTATTTCCTAATTGTCCATGAAGACATTAGTTTACATAAATTTACTCTTCATTTGCCTAGCTTTCAATATTTACTGAGCACCTCCTATTTGCCAGGCACTATTCTAGGCATTAGGATTATAGTGTCATGGAATGGAGCTAACATTCTAGTAGAAGGAGACCTAGAATAAACAAAGATAATTGTAGATAATGATTTTTTTTTTTTTAAACAAAAACTGGATAATGGGATAAAGTTGCTGGGTGGAGAGTCAGGGAAGGCCTTTTTGAGGAAGTGACCACTGGTGCCAGAACCTCAGTGATGAGAAGGAAATATGTGCAAAGATCAAAGTGAAAAGCATTCCGGATAGTGGAAACCGCAGAGGCACTGAGGTGGGAACAATCCTGGAATGAAGGAACAGTAGAAAGAGAACTAGAATGTCTGGAGAGTAGTGAGTAAGTGAGAGAAGATATGAGAAAAGGAGAGAGAGAGGTGGGGGCTAGGCATGGTAAGTAACACAGATTCCTTTTCTTTTAGGCAGGCATATCAATGTGTATGATTCTCTGATGGGCAAGTTATGTTTAGTGTAACCTTTTTAAGAGGTCATAGTGTAACCTTTTTAAGAGGTCAGAGAAATATGCAACATATTTTAGGGAGATTTCCATTTTAGAAATTAGTTAAAATATAGGAACTTTATTTCTAAGCTTTAGTGAACCCATTTCTCCTGGGCAGTTCTTTTTCACATCACTTTTCCTATGTAATAAAAGATGGTAGAAATTCTGATATACATGACTTTGACTCATTTATGATTATAGATGTCCAAAATTACATGCACAGAATTCTCTTTTGGGAACTTCGGGTAAGAGATATTTTATGTCCCTTAAAAGTGTGTCCTATTTTCTTGTAGGCAACATTAAATATCATTCACAGTGTTGTTCTCTCAGTTCTTGACAAAAACCAAAGGACTAGAGAATTGGAAGAGATTTCACAACAGAAGAATGCTGCAAAAGATAATTCACTGGACACAGAGGTGGCTTATTTAATCCATGAAGGCATGTTTATAAGTGATGCATTCGGTGAGGGTGAGCTAACACCTATAGCAGTTGACACTACCTCTCAAAGAAATGCATCTCCAAATAGTGAGCCCTGCAGCAGTGATTCTGTATCCGAGCCAGAATGTACTACTGATTCTTCATCCAGCAAAGAGCACACATCATCATCTGCTATTCCAGGAGGTGTGGATATTATGTGAGTATAGTGGCTACTGCCAAATTGACAAGATTTTGAGTCATCTTATTAATGACTTCAGTAAGACTGATTATTCAGTTTATTGAAAAAAACATGTAAATTTTAGAATTTAACAAAACTTAATTTTCTGAAATGTATCTCTATAAAAATGTATGAGAAGTAAGGAGGTGAGCATTAGAAGTAACTGAAAATTATAGAGTTTTAAGACTGGAAAAGAACTTTAAAGACCATTTTATTAAATGCCCTCATTTCAGTGATAAGGTAATTGATGCCCAGAGAGCTTAGATGACTTACTTAAAGTGACTAGTGTGAGAACATATACTGGAACCCAGGTCAATTTTTGCTTTGGTCATTTTTCTGTGTCGCCTTTGTAATTTATATGTTGTGAAGATCTGTTTGATTTATAACTTTTGGTTTTTCAAAGACATGAATTTCCAAATGGATCACATCTTTTCTTAAACCTTATTTATTATTATTATTATTATTATTTTGAGATGGAGTCTAGCTCTGTCACCCAGACTGGAGTACAGTGGCGCAGTCTCGGCTCACTGCAAGCTCCGCCTCCCGGCTTCACGCCATTCTCCTGCCTCAGCCTCCCGAGTAGCTGGGACTACAGGTGCCTGCCAGCACGCCCGGCTAATTTTTTGTATTTTTAGTAGAGACAGGGTTTCACTGTGTTAGCCAGGATTCTTAAACCTTATTTTTAAAAACTTCTTATTTTGAAACCCTGTCTCTACTAAAAATACAAAAAACAAAAACAAAAACTTATTTTGAAATAATTTCACATTTACAGAAAAGTTACCAGAATAGAATAAAAAACTCTCATATAACCTTCATCCAGATTCCCCAGGTGTTAATAGTTTACCACATTGCCCTCTGCCTCCCTCCCTCTCTCTCTTTTTCTCTTTCTGTCTCCTTTCGTCGTTATTTCTTATGCTAATATTTTTTCTGAATCCTTTGACAGTAGGTGACAGACATGATGCACTATTATCCCTGGGCACCTGGTGTATATTTCCTAAACACAAGAACACTCCTATATAACCTTAGTATACTGATTAAATACAGTAAAACATTGATACAATAAATTATTAATATTACCATCTAATCCACAGTTCCCATTTAAACAAAGTTTACCAATTGACCCACTAATCTCTGCTATCAAAAAAATAGAACCAATAAAATATTTCTGGTCCAAGAATATAGTTTGGATTTAGTTATTGTTCAGAATAACAACAGTTGTATTATCTTTATATAAATCAACTCAGTACTTTATTTTTTGTTGTTTTTTTTTTATTATTATACTTTAAGTTCTGGGATACATGTGCAGAACGTGCAGTTTTGTTACATAGGTAGACAGGTGCCATGGTGGTTTGCTGCACCCATCAACCTGTCACCTACATTAGGTACTTTTCCTAATGTTATCCCTCCCCTAGCCCCCCACCCGCTACAGGCCCCAGTGTGTGATGTTCCCCTCCCTGTGTCCATGTGTTCTCATTGTTCAGCTCCCACTTATGAGTGAGAACATGCAGTGTTTGATTTCCTGATCTTGTGATAGTTTGCTGAGAATGATGGTTTCCAGCTGCATCCATGTCCCTACAAAGGACATGAACTCATCCTTTTTTATGGCTGCATAGTATTC